GAAGGAAGCGGAATTTGATTTCAGAGCTCAAATTTCCACAGTACTCTTCTCATAATGTGAACTTCCGCCAGAATTCCAAGCATAAGGGAATTGATTACGTATTTCCCGCTAGAAGTTAGAAGCGGTCAAGCTGGCTCAACCCATCAACTTGGTGGTTTAAAGATAAAAAGTTCAAGCTTGGGCTCTAATGTAGCCAGAATTGGCATAAATAGCCTTTTAACATGACCAATGAATTTGCTGCTTTTATTCTGTTCTGAGACCCAATTTCTTGTTTCCTTGGACCATCCGCGTTGATGGGTGAAGCCAGCGTAGATGTTTCTGTCTTTCAAGTTTTTTTTTCGCTTTCCATTTTTTTGCAGCGAGGCTTGGGCAACTTCTCAGTTAGGGGCATCGCTATTATGAGATATCAAGATCCATCACCTAAACTGAGGGTATTATTGGGATTATCTTTGACCACAATTCATTCTGTTCCCTTGAGCTGGACGTCCATCACTCACTTCAAATGGCCACTACGATCCAACGAAATCCTAACAGCCGACTCCGCCTGAGCAGCTCAAAGAACACATTGCGGAGTTTGCAAACTTGCTGCCAGCCACTCTTTACACAGTTCACTTTCACCCCTCCGACATCTTATCCATGCATTCCTTGTCTATCGATTAAAAATGAGTTCATATGAAGAGCTGGATCTTCGCTACGATGCTACCATTGGTATTTGATTAGTTTATTAGCCGTTTTTCCATAGAGGCATTTTTAATCTAGCAGGTTATGGATCCTTTGGTAGAGTGGATTTGGCATGGAGCAAAACAGCTCAGCAGTATTATGCCGTAAAGAAGTTTAACATACACGAAGTTAGTTTATTTTTGATTTTTATACTTACCGGAAATATAAGTGCATAACTCTTATCATATAGAAAACAATTTGTTAAAAATTTTTTTGAATGGTTTTTGATTAAACAAGCTTGAAAGTTGCCTATTTTCTCTTTTTTTTTCTAGAAATCTCGTTCCATTTTTGAAAGAAAGTTTTATACTTCCTGCTATGTATATTTCTCTTAAATGTTTTAGATTGTTCAACAAGCTCAGAATGAGTATATCAATAACGAAAGGCGTATAACACAATCACTCGACCATCCCTTCATCGTAAAGATGTATGTTATTGAAAAATTTCGTTATTTTTTTCATCATTTCAACAATTTCCCCTTTGAAGTATAGCAATATCTGTTTTATTGAGGATTTGCACTCACATGGATAGGATGAATTTGTATCTCGTAATGGAATGTGTAGAAGGTGGTGAAGTGCGCGATTATCTCATTGACATGAGTGAGTAAGTAATTCGGATAGAACAGTAGAATCTGTTTTTTTCAAAAAAAAATTTCTTTAGGGAAGATCTCAGCAATGCTGTCCGTTTCTACTCTATGGAAGTAATCTGCGCTCTTCGATATTTGCATTTGAGAAATATCGTAAGTGCAGGCCACTTTGTTTGTCTCAGTGATACTAGTCCTTGCCGCTCTTGTTTGGCTACTACAGTTTTTTCATATGGCTAAAAATTCCAAAACTGCTCATAAACTCTTAGCCTCCGTAAAGTTCTTTGCAAAGAGCTTTTGAAAGCTGCTCTTTGGGTTCCATCACATTTTTGGTTGCCTTTGATATGTGGGGAATTGATAAATGGTAAAAATTTTTGACGATTGTTGCCTTTCTCCAACTTCTAGGCTGAGCTTTTACTTCAAAGACTTCAAAGTTCTAAATTAATGATAGTTCGCACATTAGCTTCATTATAAGTGGAAGACAAAAACAGCTTTGATGCAATCACTAAACTCCTCACTTATTTTCACTCAA